GCCTCTGGCGCCGGGAGCAGAGCCCGCGCCGCCGCCGCCCCCCCTGCTACGGCCCTGGCAGCCGGCCCGGCCCGGCACCTGTCGGAGGACGCGGGGCCAGCTGGCGCTCGGCGGGCTGCGGAGGGGCGGCCGGGCCTCCCGCCGCCCGGCGTCCTCTGAGCGTGACCTTGTCCCTTCGGCGGGCAGAGGCCGCCCCTCTCTGGGGCGGGGCGGCCCTTCAGCGGCAGCGCGATGTGGCAGGAGGGTGGCAGCAGCCCTGGAGACCCTCCGGGCAGCAAGTGGGCCCCGCAAAGGAGGGGGAAGCGGCCCAGGAGCCTGAAAGCGCTCGATCCTCTTCCCGGGCGGACCGTTAGATGCCCCCGGCCGGTCAAAAGCCCCCCCCGGAAAGTTTGGTCCACCTCCGCGGGTGGGCTGGGCAGAGGGCAGTATGTCAGAAGCAGCCGCTGGTTGGAGAGAGGGGCCTGGTCCTCTTGGGGAACGTGAACCTGCCCTTCTAATCGCTTTTCACAAATGGGACGCTTCCAAAATGGGCCTTTCGGGCATTGCTGCCCCCGTGAAGGGGCCTGGGGCTGTCCAGGGCGGATACTTGGGGCGCAGGGAGGGGTCAGGGCCTTGCCACCTCTGATCCCCTCTTCTCTGCAGATGCTGACCAGAGAATCAAGGTTGCCAACCCTGTGGTGGAAATGGACGGGGATGAGATGACCCGGATCATCTGGGCCTTCATCAAGGAGAAGGTACCTGGCACTGAGACTGTGACGGTGGCCGTGAGCCCGGGGTGGGCGGTGGGAGTGCTTGCACAGAGGAGGAAGCGAAGGAGAAGCGGGGAGAGCCGGATTTGAAGCTTTGAGATGGGGAATCCTGAGGCATCCTGTTGCTTCCTGCGTGCATCTTAGGCAGCCCAGGCGATGCCACAAACCCTTTGCGCACGCAAGGCAGAGGCTCGCAGAGGAGAGCAGTGTCAGGTTCCCCTCCGTCCCTGCAGAATAGTGTGCCCCGAGGGCTTGAAAGTGATCTCTGCCCATAAAACGTGCAGAGGAGGAAGCGCACGCACACTGCCTCTCTTGGCCATAGGAGAGACTGCCCAGGTGAGGCGGGCAAACGGGTGTCTGGTCCTGACGGCTTCTTGTCTGCCGCCTGCAGCTGATCTTGCCCAACGTGGACGTGCAGCTGAAGTACTTTGACCTGGGACTGCCCCACCGGGACCAGACGGAGGACCAAGTCACCATCGACTCGGCCCTGGCCACCCAGAAGTACAGTGTGGCTGTGAAGTGCGCCACCATCACCCCCGATGAGGGCCGTGTGGAAGGTATGTGCGACCAGGCGAGGCAGAAGCTCCACCCAGGGGCATCTGTCTGAGCAAGGTGGTGGACCCAGAGGATGCCGCTGGGGTCGGAGGGGGTGGGCAAGTCACCCTGGCCCTAATGCCAGATGCGTCTCCCTTGCGACCCCTGCAGAATTCAAGCTGAAGAAGATGTGGAAGAGCCCCAACGGTACCATCCGGAACATCCTAGGTGGGACGGTTTTCCGAGAGCCCATCGTCTGCAAGAACATCCCTCGCCTGGTCCCAGGCTGGACGAAGCCCATCACCATTGGGAGACATGCCCACGGTGACCAGGTGGGCTTGCGAGGGGGGGAGGGGTGCCCTGCTGCCAGGCCACCCAAAGCAGTTCTCTTGCTGCTGGGTGTCCTGGTGCAGCTCCCAGGACCCATTTGAGACCATGGAAGGAAAGGCCTGTCGGGATGTCTGTGGGCGCCGGGAGTTTTTCTACTTGAAAAGCCACCTATGGAAGTTAAGAGAATTAGCAAAGTTGCTAACGATTTAAACAGAGGAAACTTCTGCACTTTATTCAGGGTTTAATAGTTGGAACGTTTACAGGACCTGGAAGTCATTAAGTGAATGTGAATGGGATATAATCTGCTGATCCGATCCAAAAACATTTTCCGGAATGAATATCTGAATCCAGGCTCCAATATATTAAAAAGTGTGACGATAATAATCCTCCCAGTCACAGCTTCCCGGTGGGGCCACCTCCTCTGTGGGACGATAACCTTGAATTATAGCTCAGCAAACAGTTGGGACAAGGACAGGACAGGAGAGAGAAGCCACAGACAGGACACGTCCTAGCAGGGTGGGGGATGGGCATTAGACCAGAGGTTACAAAGATGGGGGGGGGGAACCGAAGCTGAGGAATTTCCACAGCTGCTCTGAAGGCTGAACATGGGAGGAAAAGGCCCGTTTTCTAGCCAGGCCGTTCTGGGGCTCCCCTCAGCAGGGTTGGGTGGGGAAGTGAGCAGTGGTTGATCCTCCCGGATTTTTCATTTTGCAAAGCATTACTTATTTGTTGTGCCTAAACATGCGGTTTTTGAAAACCTTCCTTGTTTTTAACTGGGTTTAACTGCTTACCCCAGATGGGTTTTGATCTTGGTTTCTTTAGGGCCTGTAGGGAGGAGGGTTGGCTGTAATAACCTCTCGGGCCCTGCTTTTCAGTACAAAGCCACGGACTTCGTGGTGGATAAATCAGGGACCTTCAAGATGGTTTTCGTGCCCAAAGATGGCAGTGGAGCCAAGGAGTGGGAAGTCTTTAACTTCCCAGGCGGGGGTGTCGGCCTGGGCATGTACAACACGGATGAGGTGAGGAGGAAGAGGGGGCAGGGCAGGACTGGCATAGGCGCAACTTTCCCTGGGGGAATGCCCAGGCTCACGGGGGGGGGGGGTCTGGCCTGCTGAACCTTCCCTTGAGGGAGGGAGGGAGGGGAGCTCTGCAGCCCCACCTCAGGCCCGCCCCACTGAGCACTCGGCCTGCCTTTTGCAGTCCATCTCAGGCTTTGCCCACAGCTGCTTCCAGTACGCCATCCAGAAGAAATGGCCGCTCTACATGAGTACCAAGAACACCATCCTCAAGGCCTACGATGGGCGGTTCAAGGATATCTTCCAGGAAGTCTTTGATAAGTGAGCTATTTAGCCCAATGGGACCGGGTGGTGGTGGTGGAAGCAGCCCCCTTGGCGCTTTCAACAGGGGCGTCAGAGCCTGCCTACCAGGCCTGGGGTGCCCCTTTGCCCTGGAAGTTAATCCAGGGCCGGCCTTGCATGACGCTGTCCCTGTCTGAGGAGGGTTCCTGTCCTCCTCCCTGTCAGGCACTACAAGACCGACTTTGACAAGCTCAAGATCTGGTACGAGCACAGGCTCATTGATGACATGGTGGCCCAGGTGCTGAAATCAGCTGGCGGCTTCGTCTGGGCTTGCAAGAACTACGATGGAGATGTCCAATCGGACATCCTGGCCCAAGGTATTTACTGGCCCTACCCAGGGCACACAACCAGCAGATGGACTGGGGGTGAGAGAGCAGGACCAAGGTGCTGAGGACCCCATCCTGAGCCCTTAGCATCTGGCAAGAGTGGTCCCTCCCCCCTTCAGCTGGTGCAGCTAGGCTAGGGTGGCACCTTCCAGGGGAAGCAGCTTGGGGGGGGGCCTCTCCTAAGGACCACAAAGCTTTTTTCTGGGGAAAGAAGCGGGGGGGGGGGGACTAGCT